AAAAAAAACTTCGTTTTCCTAAATCAAATGTCAACTCATTAATCTTCTGACAGTGCTATCGTTTAACGGCAACTTCATATTTTTTCAGGTATAGAAATATTCTTTAATTGTATGCACCACACAAATGTTTCAAATTAACATTGACAATGTGAAGTGTCATTTTTGTGATGTATTTACCTCCATACAAAAGAAACATACAATTATTACCTTACGTAAAGGGAGCATACTTTAATTCAGTTTTTTAAATCACAAAAACGTTAACGTCAATTTTAAACAATTCATGGCGAGCAAGTCATTATTTGTTCCTTTCCACCAAAATGTATCCCAATTGTGATATTGGCCGTGCACCCATCTTGCCCTGGAGGCGTGACTTCTCAGAGAACTCCTAAAAAAAATTCACGTGGCCGTTTTATCCTGGACACTTACAACCTCTGCTGTGAGATAATTATATCATCGAATGAGGCAAAACAAGTTCAATTGTCCGTACTTTAATGGATTAAAATCAAGTGCAAAATCAAATTTCATTGAGTTTGTGTAGAATTATTGGTGATTCAGCTGAGACCATCAGCATTGTACACGAGATAGCCTATCTTAATCACAGCTGCCAAGATTCGAACCCAGGAAGTCAGAAGTGCTGGCTTTGCACTTTGACCTCTGAACCACCTGCCTAACTCAGACGGGTAATTCTTAAAAACCCCGACTGTTTCAGACGGTTGCTAAATTTAACATGGGTTCGGCCACGAATTGTCAAGTTAATTTACACTCCTTAGCATATACTCATTTTCACCTCCCACAGTGACCCAAGACTCATCACATTTCAACTCGGGCGCACTGCATATTTTTTTTTGGTTCCATTAAGCCCTATTCCTCATGAGGTCCCAAGGTTAAAAAATGCATGTCGTTAATTGTTGTCCAGTATGGATTTCTGTTTCCCCAGTCAATGCCATTAAATGTTTGGACGTGTATATACATATGCATGTATTGGCACTCGCAAAGGGCATGTTGTTTTTGCTATGTGCTCCTGCTGGCCATATTGCCAGTGAAATTCGCAGTTCATTGGTAAGCCTTTTAATGTAACAATACCAAGTAACTTTTTTTCTGAAAGCACTTTTTTTTGCTTCATCGTTGTATCATGGCATACTTCCCTCAAGCAAGACGGTCGTGTCATTTATATATACGATTGCAATTATTTTCAAAAGGTGTGTGGCCCTCCAATCCTGTGCTGTAACCATCGAATGGTTATGGCTTATATAGAATAGGTGCAGGATCCAAGCTAAGGCAACAAGAAGCCAATTTGAGGCCAAAAACTTAAGTTTGAGAAATAACAGTTTTACAGCCATCATTTGAACGAATATAAAACTATCATTTACTGTATTTTATATGCATGTAGAGGTTATTTTGCACCGTGTGTTGCTAACCATGCTAATAAATGGGATGAGGTGACATTTAAAAAAAAATCGAATGGTATGGAATTAAATCAATCACAAAATTCCAATGGATTAACTTTAGTATACGATGCTCATTCGTTAAACCACTCAAATCAACCACATTTGAGAAATGGCCTCTTGTCCCCACATCGTAAACAACAATTAGGCGTCAGAAATAGTTTGCTAACGATTCACCCCACACAGCGATTCCACTGTCACACTTTCCGGTTGTGATATAATTCAGGGATCTGTTCCAAGTTGTTAATTTCCATCTCCTTTGTATTGTTTGGCATTTTAAAAAAAATCACAATTTGACTAAGTTACACAGTACTCAATGCAACTTTTGCAAACCGTTTTGAGCGTCATTTGCACGGATCGTAGATCGATTTTTACACGCCCGATGCTACGTGTGCATCGTGAGCCCACCAAACGACTATTAACCGATGCGTCGTTACACGCCTGGTCAGATATCTGACTGCACACCACGACGTGTACGAGCTAGATCCAGTCATGGTTGGGGCAAGTAGCCATGATACGGTTTGTTGAACGTCACGGTTGAAGTGGGGTGGAGACGTCTGCAGCCATTTTGGTACGCATTGCTTTGACGCCAATACAAATATCAAACACACAGACCCTTGAGAGCTTTGGCAATCGCATTTCCGCTTGTATTCATATAGGCACAGGCGACGTAATACATTTAAACGTGATAAGAAAATAGTTTTTTGTTTGTTTTTACTTTAAATCGCATATTACGCATTTCTCTTATTTTGTCAACCCTATCCCCCCCTCCCCTGCACGCACGCACGCACGCGGAACAAAAAAAGACGACGCGTTTTGGGGTAAATTCTCTTCCACAAAATCTACGCACACGCAATGAAAAAAGACCTTCACTTTTGCGTCGAGCTTTTCTTCCAACAGTAGCAGTGGCATATCTTGACATTTATGAAGTGAGGATGAATGAACCCAAGGACAGAATGATGTGTTGCAATACCATCTCAATTTAAAATGAAACATAAGGAATTATATCCCATACAGCTGGGTCTCGTGGTCTTCTTCCTGCCAGGAAGAGCACTGCATTTTCCACAGATGATTTGCCAGTGTGAGAGAATGCCAGTGATACCGTCTGATACCAAGAGAACGCTTGCCTAACTCAGGAGTTAAAACCACCAGTTATTCCAATTCCGGCTACGTGTTCATTCCTTAGTAAACGTACGGCAGCCAACCCAGTGAACATGGGCAGGAGGGAGATGGATCGTGGCATGGCGAGACCTTGAGGCATGGTGATAATATGGGAAGGCCCTTCCATGGCTGTCGATGATGAATGAAAATTACCAATGTCATTTAACAAAAAAAATATTCCTGCGTATGATTCTGCACAAACCATTTTGTAAAATCACTTGTTAATTGCTGAGCAGAATCAAGATTGGCTTTGTGGTGAGTACAGTTGCGTGTGACGAATTACAAGACGTAAGACGAAGGGAGCAGAACAATCCTGTGAAATAAGAACGCTGACAACCCCTCACCCATGAAGATAGACCGCCACTGCACTGTTGGTGGTACTGTTTAAATGCATAGTTCTAAAGCTTTCCTCTTTTGTATGCCAATGTAAAACCTTCCAGACCAAGGAGAGGGATTATACGCATCCTGTCTCAGCATTTCCTTTACCTCACAGGAATAAGCTCCTGCAGACAAAATTTCAACGAATGGCAAGTCGGTAAAAGTGTAGAGTTGGCTTAGTGCCACGTGTCCCCTTTTCCACTTTGTGCTGCAAAAAAAAACGGCCGATAGCGCATTTAACCGGGCAGTGAATTATCCCGTAGATGCACCCAACAGCTCGCGGGCATATTCTCCCCCAAGGCCTGAATTGGGAGGTCGAGAAAAAATATATTTGGGCCGATATGCCGCATCCAGGCCGGCCTTCGTGGAGTGCGGAACAAAATTGGGACACCAAAGCACTACGCGCTTGTCAATTACATTAGCACCAGTTTTCATTGTTGTCTGTCAGTTGACATTTCATCTGTTCTGCTGCTGATACACGAGTTCAGGCTGTACTTTAACCACCAAAATAAACCAATCGTGTTGACTCAAAACTTCAGTAGGTAACAAAAAAACTGCAAAGCACAGCGCCCGTTCGACGTCATCGGCAATATGCATACAGTCGAGTAATGTACTGTCCAGTATTTGTAGTTTCTTTCTGTAATTATTCACCCCTTTGTGCGGCATGATTATTCATGCGTGGACAGTCAACGAGAACCACCTGAAATCTGGAAGGTTTGACATCACATTTGTCTACAAGGCCTTCCTAGATTGATTGCAACACAAGAACCCCGACTAGGTATTTGAAATCCGCCAACGTAAGGCGATTCGACGTCCTCCGCTTAAAGATTACACGACATACTGTGAAAAAAAAAGAATAAAACATTTTAATTCTTATTATTAAAATATCAGTACAAAACGGATAAAATCGCTCCAAGGATAAATTTTCCCCTTACTCCCGGCGTCGGTAAGAACGTTCTAAACGGTAAAAACACGACCGCGTGTGCGTGTCATGGCGCGTCAATTATGATTTTCATCAAACTGTCAAGAAATACGAGCATTCTGTTGCGTCGGCGTTTAATGTTTCATTTTATTTTTTAAAGAAAGGGAAGAAAAAAATCAGGAATTTAAACTAAGCAGAGAAAATATCGACGCGCGTTCGCTAACGATCCAGAGAAAAGACCTTCTCAAGGTCCAGTGAGTTGTACTGAACTCTGCTTAGTCAACACAATGACCCACATATCATCTTCTCAATTTTCCAGCAATGTATTCCTCTTATTGCGCCATTTATTGCGACAAATAATGGATTTCGTTATGATAACGCAAGCGTCAATGCCGCCGGTGTGACAACTAAAAATCAGGAACACAATTTACGCGTGTTGATTTTGGATGTTTTAAAATGCAATTAAGCACTGGGTATCCGTTTTGAATTTGTTCTAGATTAATAACAATGTTAAAACAGAAGAATACATACGAAATGCGGTACAAGCTGCTACGCTAGTTGCCTTTTCCAACTAAAAAACATAAACTCATTCAGACCCAATTTAATCACTTCAACCTCTCAAATGCACAACATGTGAGCCTTTCTTTGGCTGAACATTAAGCGGGTCTTATGAATACAATTACCCGAGGGAATTGTCCATTTCCTCCGCCAATTATTCTAATTTGTGGATTTCATTAAATGTGAAACAACCGTGTAACATTCACAATCTTTTTTCCCCTCTCTGCTTTGTACTACAGCTAATTTCAGCGTGATTAGCTAACCGCGCACCTGTCGGTTTTAGTTTATTTTCCGCTGCGTTTTTTTTAATTTTTACGCCGAACGCATTTAACGACATTCTCACGCTAACGTTTACGAAAAATTTAAATGAAAAAAAAAAAATCTAAAAAAAAAAGCCCAAGCAAAACAAAACGGTGCGATTTGACATCAGCTCTTCAGAAATGTTTCTTTCGCGTTTCCCACCCCCCTAACCCCCTCCGTATTATACGCGCGTCACCGTGTGGCGTCCCCCCCCCTGCCCCCCCCCCACTCACTCACCCACCCACCCACCCACGCCAAAAAAATTACATCGCCGGGTTGTTCTCAAATCCCGGCTGCCCTCGTGGGTCTAATGGCCGGCTGCCTTCGGTCTGTGGCAAACGGACAAACTGGTAGCCGTAGCCCCACACCTGAAAGCCATTGCCTCCGCCCGCGGTGTAGGGGCCGGTGCTCATCGGCGGCGCCGCTCCCCCGTCCCTCACTGCCCGCTGCATCGCTTCGGCCCGCACTTGGCTCGCGCCGCCTGGGTCGGCGTAGCACTCCAGCCCGCCCCGATACCACTGGTCCCCGGCAAACTGCGACCCCTCGCCCCTAACCCGCGCACCGCTGCCCACGATGCCCTGCGGCGCCGGCGCCGGCGGAGGCGGCGGCATCCTGGGGACGCCGAACTCCAGGCCGTGCTGCTGCTGCTGCTGCTGCGCGTGGTGGCCGTGCGCTACGCCCATCGCAAAGTAGTTTGGGCTCGGTCGGAAGTCGGCGCTGTTCGAGGCGAGCGCCATATCCGCCTGCGCCGTCTGGAACGGCGGGAACGGCGGGCCCACACCGCCGTCAGCAAAACTGACGGGGCACGGGCCAAACGGCGGCGGCGGCGGCAGCGGCGGCGGCGGCGGCGGGGGCGGCACGGGAGTGCCGCCCCCGCCCGGTTGCGAGTCCGAGAAGTGGGGCGGCGGCGGCGGCGGCGGCGGCACGCTCAGCAGCCCCATGCCGGCCTGCGACGTGAGGCTGCGCACGTCCATGGGGAAGCCCATGGCCACGCCGGACGTGTTCACCTTGCCCTGCTGCTGCTGCTGCTGCTCACCGCCGCCGCCATCGAACAGGGACTGCGCCTTGCAGCCCTGCGACGGGAAGTCGGGTGGGCCGCCCACCGCTCCTCCCTGCATGTGGTTGAGCCAGGAGGACACGCCGTACGCGCTGCCGCCCGGCCCGCCGTCACCCTGCGCCCCGCCGCCGGCCCCACCGCCGCCGCCGCCGCCGCCGGTGCCCCACGCCCCTCGAAAGTGAGCCTGCGCACCGCTCGTTGCGTTAAACATGGAGCCCGCCTCCATACCATTGGCAAAGGCATCGCCGCCGGAGCCATCTTGCTCCTTGAGCTGATCGCCCACCGCGCCGTTGTTGAGGGGCCAGCCGCCCCCGCCGCCGCCGCCGCCGCCGCTTCCAACGGCTTGAGGGGGCGGCCACTCTTTGGCGGCGTCGGGCACGTGGGAGGCGGCGCCAGGGGACGCCGCCCACACGTCCAGCGAGTCGCCGTTGTGGCTGCACGCCGGGTTGGACTGCGCGGACGGCCAGCTCACGTCGCCGGCCGGGAAGTAGCGCGACTGCTGCGGGGAGTGCGTGAGGCCAAAGGAGGCCGGAGGGTACACGGACGTCCAGGGCCCCGGCAGGGACTGGTAGGGGCCCAGCCAGCGTGCTTGCGCAAACGCCTGGAGCACAAACGGTGGAGGTGGATGAGAATAAGAGTTAGTTATTGATAGTCCAAGTGTGGTTGTGCTCTAGGTTTGATCAAGAGTTACCCAAACCAACCGCGGCTAAAATGCAGCACTGCGTGTGAATCGCAGCACATCTGAACGCAAAGTGATACTCATTCTATCGACTACTCCACAGCGATGATGGTATGTGATCTCGCAAACATTCTATTTTGAGTTGAGCCATGTGACTTGCGAATGAGGTGTTTACCAGCCATTGCGCGAATAAGCATTTACAGTTGGAAAGTGTTCAGAGGAAGGTAAGCAACAAGTTTTACTCTTAGATGTTTTCACTATGACACCAACATACACATCGACCCACTTTCCGAAATAAAGTTATCAATGCTCCATTGACCAAAAACATTTCACCGATAACCGCCAATACACCTAACGTATGAAAACATTCACGCGCGTTTGAAGATGTTCTAAATCACTCAGAATTGGAATACATTTCTGCATATCTAAGCAAGTTTTCAAGAAGTGTGTGATGGCATGCATGCCATTACACCGTTGATGTTTTAGTATCCGATTGCTACTTGCTTCATTGCTGCACTTTGCTTAGTTTGTTTTATCGGGACTCAAGTCACTCTTGCAAATGAGGCTATCCTGGTCTCCTGAGTTCTCATCCGTTGAGACAAAATGAACTTGAAACCTGAGGACGGGTGTAGATTTATTTGAATTCACGTCAAACAAAACTCAGCAAACCCTGCATATCTACTTTTCCAAAGCATATAAAACATTTTTTTTTATAAATAAGATTCAACAATAAATAGAAGCCAGCCATGCAACAATGCATGAATGCATTGACTGCAATAGATTAAGTGACAATATGTGCATCAAATCGTGCATGTAAAGATTTACTATTTACAATTAGTAAAAATTATATTGGTAGAGGTATCACAGTGGTTAGCGCACTGAATGATGAACACAGTAACATCAATGGCGAGTGATATCCTCCCTTAAACCAACCCATACTGACGAGCAAGTTGCAGTATGCTAAACAGCCCATCGCTAGCACGGCATGAGCAGGGATGCCTTCATCCAGCAGTAGTTTGACATTTAGGATAATGGGAGTGAACAATCTGTGCAAACGAGGCAGAAGGCGCGGGGGAAACGATTCGTGCCAGTCGGAAAAACAATCGATCGTTCAAGCAAATCACGACCCAGACTTATGATGATTCATCAAATGTCTCTTGTGGAGGGGTGGGTGGGGCGCGGGAGGTGGTAACGACTGGAAGCCTAATAGAAGAGTGTGTGTCCTTGCGCTTGTGAGCCCGAGAGCCAAGTCTCTTTCTGTGATTATTATACCCGGTACACACCTCCCTGTGTTGGAATTTATGGTTACCATGTGTTGCATTTCACACCAGATTCTATAAAAGCGGTTGATTGACGTATGAGGCACAGCTCCCAAAAAAAAAATGCAAGTGTTTTTAACTGGATACAATTATTGGTGTAAATTAATATTTTGCATACGTTAACAGCAATAAAACACTCAACACAAACACTTAGGTACGCTCACCATCTGGAATTAGTTTCTCCCCAGCTTGTATTGGCCAGTTTCGCATGGCTTGCTACTGTGTAAAAGCCAATGCTAAAGTTCAGATTGGCAAGGGCTTGTTAAAGTAATGTATAAATATAAAAGCCTACGATAAATGCCAGGGGGCCCCCTTCATACAGACGCAATTTTGTATTCAATGTTTTCATTAAACACAAAAATTAATTTAGCTGCCAAAAAACATCCCAAGTGCTTTTGTTTTTCTTTTCAGCCCCAGTCAGCTTGGACCGCGTAATGACGTGAAATTAAAGTGACATCACACATTTGTGGGATTCTAATGAAGTGCTACCTATTTAATTAATCAAAACTAATATTGCTTGGAAAATGGATGGGATGCATAAAAAAAAGTATGTTTCCTTTCCAAAAAAATGTACCATACAAAACAGGACGCGTTCATAATTTACAGAACAAAAGCATAAAGGATGAAACAATAATCCACATGTAAAGAGATATAATCTAATTACGGAAGGGTCAAATCGAGAACAAACTAAAACCTACACGCGTTCATCAAGCTACATGCCTGCGAGTTAATCCTCTTCATTCCCTATGGGACATGAGGCCGTAATGAGTTCCCCCCTCCACTTCTGTACCAGTCGTTCAGGGAAAAAAAAATAATATATCCGTTTTGAAAAAATCAACAGGTCACCCCGATACATTGGCCACCATTATAGCTACCTCTACCCAAGTACATCTGAACGTGTTGAACTGTACTTCTTCACAGCACACGGAGGGATGACGCAAAGCACACTCAAGACGTGCGCTCATTTACCACTGCGACATCATGAATTGTGGCTCTTGAACAAAATGAGCACCAAAATAATTATTTAAGCGACTTACTTGAATTCCGTAATTGAAGAAAAATTGCAGAAGCCTCTGGTCTGCAAACACAAACGAAGGCACAAAAGGTTACATGTATGTGCACTGTACATAGCCAACCGTGCTATTCGAAGGTGCGGGCAGAACGACAACAAACTAAGCATGCTTTGCACAGCACAGGCTGTACGTGAACTTGCGATGTAGCGCCAATGCAAAGGAGCCTCTCATTGGGACACAATACTCTGCTCATTCAAATGCCGAGTTAATTCGGCATTCATTACCAACAGTAAAGAAAAACACAACGCACGTTCCCATCACACAAACGTGTGCATATCGTTTTTTTGGAACAAACGCATGTCATTATTTTGGGGATAACTTCATTTCAAATTTGTTCCCATTAAAGTCACACCAAGTCTCCCTGCATGAGTTTTAATACAAGAACATTGGCCAATTAATTGTGATATTCACTGCAGACTAACTGGAGCAAACACACACACACACACCAAAAGGATAACGCTCAAAACTCCGCTGATATCTGTCTGCCGCCTACTTGCTGTAACTGTCCCTACGGGGCACCAACTCGTTTCCACAGCAGGTGGAAATCTCACATACAGCATCTAATTTATATTTATAGAGTGCCGTCACTCAAGGTGGTGACAGAATAGAATGATTTAGGTGGGTACAAGGATTTAGCAATGAGTGACAGTGATAGCGGGGTACTAAGCGGGCTCGTTCTATGACTGGGTAATTCAATGCCTGACCAGAGTAAACCCCCGAGAATGGCCTCAAGTGACTTTGCAGGACAGAAAAAGGGCAGGAGGACTACTACTGCGTTACCTTCGGGTAGATCCCGGCCATCGGGGTCTTTGGAATAGAGAGAGAGGGCATCGAACGGTTCCAACAGAGACATGGATCCAGCCGCAGCTGCAATTACAAACAGGGCAATCACATCACCAGTTCCCCTCTAACGTCAAGGTGGAGAACGCTTTTTTACTCATCCAAGGTCGAAAAGAACTTTAGCACATCAATATAAACTTGAGCAGTGTTAATCAATGGCGTGATAAACAATACGCGTGTTGAACAAGTACACAGCGGCAGTCACAGAAGTCACTGACCGCGGCGCTGAAAGCAGTGCCGTTGCCGAGGCCGACAACATTCCCCTCTCTCGTGCCCGATTAGTGCGGCTAAGATGTTTGCGGAAGCGGATAAATATCATCTGTGGTGCAATTCCAAGTGGTGGGCCTCGTGTGTCCGTGGGGCTGTACGAAACACCGTGGTGGGACAGATACGACAGCAGCCTCCGGCCCATAGGATCCCCCAGCTCTGCTCTGCGTGAAAACGGGCCTCGCATCTGCGATGCCGTGTCATCCAGCGACCACCACTGCTCGCAAAGCCATGTGTGTTATTGAGCTTTGGGGAGCCCAAGTGTGGCATCATGTGGTGCATCTGGCTGCTCGGGTTCATGGGTCGTTTAACAGTGGAAGAGTGCATTGTCGGCTCCCTTGAGATGGGGCTCACTGGGTAAGCCAACCCGGTGTAAATCAGCGCACATGGAATGTATCCATTAAAATATTACTGAAAATATAAAACATTTCTGGAAAAATAAAATCTATTTATTCGTCCAGGAAAACGGCCATTGGTCGCGAAACTTTTATAAGAATTTTTTAAATATATTTTGCATGTCACGGCTAGAGTGGTGGCGTAGCCGCAAGTGTGATGCAGTATAATCCTGATAATAAATAACAATGTCCTTTATTTATCTAGGAGTCAAGACTTTTTTTTTCAGGCAGGTCATGCTTTTGGATGGTTGTCTAATTCCGTCTTAAATAATGTTTTGCATGCGGGAGAAAAATAGAATACGTGGAGACACAATACCGCACACACTAGGGTAACACCCAATAGGTCTGAATAGATTGTTTCACAAACCCATGTGCTGTGGTAATAACTATCGGGAGTACGTGACGCAAGTTGATAGTTATTGAACTTGCTACTGAGCAAACAGCTGGCATTGGTCCAGTTGTTTGCCCAGGCCACCTCCTCAGTACACGACAAATATAAACTATTTTTATTTTAAACGATTTGTAAAAACTAAAACTATTTTTATTTTACAGATAAGCCCACCGAGCTGTACATCTCTTTTTCAAAAGCGGCCTGGCCACAAATGATAGCTCAACCAAGTGGCAAAACGTGTGGAAATTAATAGCAGCCAAATACTCTAAACGCTTCATGTTGATTCTAAACGTGGAGGAAAAAAACGGAGGACCCGGGGAAAAACCCACGTGACCACGGGGAGAGAGAAAACACCACCATCTATAAATGTACAACAGGCATGAGGGTCGGCATCGAACCGAACGACTTCCTGTATACCAGGCGAGGCAGTTAAACATCTCGCCACACGAGGCTGGGAACTTCTCGCACACAATCTCAGCACAAGCCCCGCCGGCGCCCCCCCCCCCCTCCCAAATGTACCACCCCCCCGGGAAGCGCGCGCCAACGCAGGCGTCGTCACCTTGCGAGTCGAGCGACGCTTTCTGCCCCGAGGCCGCGCAGGCGATCGAGGCCCTGTCCTCTGCGCCGGCTGCACCCCGCTCCAACGCCCCCCCGCCCCTGCCGGCGGCCAGCAGAGCTCCATTCTGCGCGGCGTCCCCCGGCATCCCGGCAGGAGACGTGTTGCCACCACCACCACCACCAGCCATTGCAGACGGCTGGGACCCCACGCCGTCACCGCTCACCGCCAGTGCCGAGGGGCTGAAGCCGTTGAGCGGCGTCGCCCGGTCCCGCTGGCCGCCGCCGCCACCGCTTCCACCGTCCGCGCTCGCTTGGGTCGAGAGCGAAAGGATCTTCTGGTGTCCGTGGAAGGGGGACGAGGGCCCCATGGCGGGGTGGCCGCCCAACGCGGCATGGTTGTAGGAGTGCAGTGGCGGTGGACCCGAGGATGAGTAAGGCCCGATGACGGCCGGGGACGGAGAGCTCATGGCGCCGGGCGTCGGGCACGGCGGGATGAGCGCCGCGATCGGAGCCAAGATGGCCTGAAACGACGGGAGGCGTATGTTTACCATGACGACGGAGGGGCTTGCTCGCGGGCCAACGACGTCCCGCTAACACGTCGCCTACTCCCAAACGTGCCGCGCGACGGCCGGAAGAAGCACTAGCCAGCGGCCAATAACTGAACGCGGGAACATTCTGCATGGCCGAAGGTGTGTTGGGGTCGAGCGGGAGCGTAGCGGGTTTAAAACCCTGCTTAAAACCCAGCGGTGTAAATCTACTTTTGCGCAGTTACCTGGGAGGGCTTGACGGCCGAGGAGAGCACGGCCGGAGGGTGCAGCGCGGGCAGCGTGACGGCGAGGGGCGAGCATGCCTGGGAGGCCGAGCCGACCGCCACCGAAGGGCTCGAGCGGGGCCTGCTGATGGGCAGCGGCGTCGGCGCTGCCGAGGGGCCGCCCGGGAGAGGAACGCCCATCCCTCCGCCGGGCAGCAACAGAGTGCGTGGCTGCGACACCGACATTGTAACCTTCAGAGGCAAGGGGCATCGAGGAGGAGGAGGCAGCGACGGTGAGACGTCGCTGTACGAGCAGCGCTAGGGGGTGGGGGAACATCTTCCTTACCGAGGGCCGCAGGTTCGGCGAGCAACACATTGACGGATGCCCTCGCAGTCACTATGGCCGCAACATGCCCTCGCGGTACAAAAGCAGTGAGTCGAGTGCATCGGGGTCGAAAATATTCCCCTCTCATTTGAAAGGCTGTTTAGAAGTGGTAGTAGGGCTCGCGTGGCCGTCAGCCGCATGAAGTCAAGAGCTGCATGCGTGCTGCAAGTCAGAGGTTTCCCACCCTTGCTAAACAAGTGGGATGGCTCTGCCAACACTCCCGCCCCACGATTTTATGAACTGTTGCAATTCAGGGTTGCGATTCAAGATTTTTTTGTACATTATGGTGAATGGTAGCGCCTCTAGTGGCTGCAAGGGTACAGTGAACCCATTACACAGCTTGATCTTGAGAATGGAGGTTAATGGGTGAGTCGATGTTTCATTGCACCCAGAGTGCGCACTAACCGTTCCCACTCATGGTGCTGAGCCAGTGGTGAAAATTCCACATTTTTACGATGGGAACCAGCATGTTCATAACAAAGTCAATCGTGGAATTATTTAAATCGGTGTTGCCATAAACATTTGTTTCCATATTTCTTATACCTACTATGGTATCGGTAATACAACATTCCTGTGGCAGGAATCAGCCCTCGATTAGTCTCAGCCCGTCCCTGGTGCATCATTTAGCATTCCCAACACCTGAGCAACACAACCACATGGGCCGGTGCTCAGTCTGGCGACATCGTAAATACATCGATGAGGCCTAGTCAACCACAACTACGATTTGAACTGCCGACCTTGCTATCCGGGGGAATCAATGCATTACAGATGGATCATAAATCCGTGGATTAAAGCTGGAGATGCAGGGCTATGCGCCTTAGAAGTCAGGTGCTGGAATGGAATGCCAAACAGGCAGGACGCAAGCTGTTTTTGCTGTGGTTACGGGGAGGGGTTTTTTCTTTTTATCGTCGGGGGCAGAATGGAAAACGAGCCGAACATTTTTTTTCCTCGTGGGTTGGGGGTGAGTGTCAGGTCAAGGGGGAAACTAAGATGTTTTCGTAACGGCGGGGTGAGGGGTTAGCACAATAAAGAGCGGCAGACTGTCTCCTGACATTGGTTACAACGAGGTTGACAGCATGGAAAAAACTTGAGGGAAAATGTTACCCACACAGTCTCGTCTGAGTGAGCACCACATGCCACATGCTAATGCTTACACACCATGGCCAAGTCCTCATTTAAGGCCGAGTTGACCTAAGCAAGCCCCAACACAGGTTGACGCTTGCTGCTTATTGTGTCCCTGGTTCGGAATGGAACGCCATATTGCAGGGACGCATATTCTTTGGGTCTTTCGGTAAAGTCACATAGATAGGTTCACAGAAATCAGGAAGAGGGGGATGACGAACGCTTGTGTTGCGATCGAAACGTCGTAGCTTTTTGTTACTTTTTGTTATTTTCTTTGAACCTATCTACGTGACTTTACCCAAAGACCCAAAGAATATGGATTCCTGCAGTCACGAAAGATTTAAATCAAGATTGAAGGAATGCTTCGTGCTAAATTAGAAAATGCTACGTGGGGGATCGTTGTTTCCATGTTTGTCTTGTGTGTTTATCCCTGCGGATAAACACACAAGATAATGTGAAGAGCCCATGAAAGTTGTTGTCCTTCCCCCCCCCCCCACCTCCGATTAGCACGTTTGGCGACATACGGTGCGAAAGAAGTTCAACGTAAAACATACTGCCCATAGACAAACACTGCCCATAGACGACTCAACACTGCCCATAGATTCAAAACTGCACCTCCGATCAGCAGGGTTGTCTATGTTCGGTGCACCAAACTGGCCAAACACCCCAGTGCCAATACTCTCCTGACGATTCTGGAGAATTGGTTGAGGCTTACTCGGATAATTAGAGTACAATGTGTGGAGCAGTGGTGGAGGGGGTTGCTCACTACACTATGAACCCAGTGACCTAAGTTCAATTCCCAGCGATGCTAATGCACTATGGAGATGGGAGCCATGGAATCAGCTAGTGTCCAGGTGCAAGGCAGATCATTTCATTACAAGAACATGAAAGATGGAGACAGCTTGGGCGGGGGGCTTTAACCAGCAGTGGATTGAACATGGCTGTGATGATGAAAAAAGCATGTTAAGTTACGGTCAAGCATCCCTTTGTGGGGCTTCAGCGATTTCACTGTGACATCGCTCTCATACGCTGTACTGCAACATTAATGCAGAGACATCCCTGCGCTGCTACGGCGCAACATATTATTAAAGTTTATTGTCTCATTCCAAAAGATCCAAAGTCGGGTTTGGCAGCCACAGACACACAGCCTTGATAGACATCGACAAGATGACGGAATTGCCTCAATGATGATAAAACTTATGTTCCCGTTTCTTGGGTTTACCTTCTGTCTCTCAAATAATATCCGAGGTCGAGTTATTTATGTTACTGTCTGCTGGAGCCTGTGCAGGAGGTACCTGTGGGTAGTGTAGGAACACAACACTTAGCCATGATTAAAGCTGCATAGCTGACATAGAGCAGGCTGCATCCCAACCACTTCAGGCTGAGACAAATTTAAGTCCGAGGCTGGCAATTCCAATTGTGTTGTACCTCTCAACTTGTAAAATAAAAAAATTTCAGCAGCACCAAAAACTGTTTTTTTCCCCCTTGGTTTGCGCCTACTTTTAAGAAGGCACCTTGCCATCAATTTACCCAACCCTTCCGCTGTAAACGTGCGTCAATGCCTACTTTATTGAGGGCGACATTGACACACAACATGAAGATTGATCGATTGATTATCTTGGGAGCAGCCCTAGCAGGCAGCACCCTGCTCAAGAGGCCCACCTGCGGCGAGAGGTTGTGCAGCATGGAGCTAATGATGGACGTGGCGCTGTGACCAGGCATTGGCACAGGGCCGCCGAAGGAAGCCGGTCCTCCCCTCGTGCCTCCCACCGCGGCGGCGCCACCAGCGCCGCCCCCTCCCAGCTGGCCGTCGGGCGGCATCTTGGCCGTCTTCAGGGCGTGGGCGAACGCGGGCTCCAGAACGGAGCCCTTGGGCTTGTGATCCGGCAAGCGCGTGCCGGCTTGCGCCGAAGATGCCATCGTGGAGGAGTACACTCTGGCCGACTGCGAACGCACGCACGCGCAGGGAAGGGACAGAGAGGGCATTGTATGGATTTAGTACAGCCGGAAAAGCCCCATTAACGAATGTCTCAACTATTTTTATAGAGGGTCCTCCTAAATTAAGATGTTGAGCTAGTCCCCTTACTGAACGTCATGTGGGAGGAAGCCAGCAAAGAATCTGCCAAGCATACGCGCTCCACACGGTTAGCTTTATTGCTCTGCTGCCGTCTCCTGGCCACCTCCCGGCCCAAGCCTACAACATCCTTCCAAATACTAACTAAGCTCAACCATGCTTCAGAGATCTGATTGGATTTGGCACATTCTGGGAACTTTTAGTCATAGACACCAGTCTAACTGGCGTCTTTGGCCATCACGTGCGGTTCCCATTGGTTTCTTGGCCACCACTCAATAATTGTGAATTATGAAAGTCAAATTATGGTAGCCGTAAATTCTCGAGAGGCATTTTAAACAGCCCAAAGCAAGTCCTGTCCTCAAAACTATTTGCGCAGTAGGTGTGGGATGGTGCCCACGAATTTTTCACGACGCTCAACAGATTAAAACGTAAGCCAATTAAATCGTATAAACATCTGCGAAGCCGAAAGGTGCGATTTACAATATATCGTTTCTCACCTGGGAGTCGTCAATTGTCAATGGGTTTGGGGAGAGGGGTGGGGGACAAAATTTCCGGCCGTGTTCCCGAGAATCGAAGCAATTCCAAGGGACGTCAACTCAAGAGTGCCAAAACTAAAACTTCTGCAGAGACCCAGCGAGCTCGGAGCGCGTAGCTTTGGCAGGGAACAAGCGCATGCAGGGCGCCAAAACGCACCATTGTCGTATCAGACCTTAAATGAGCGCTACGGACGCAGTAACCCGAGCGTTTTGTTTTAAATGTCGGCTCCTGTGACGAGACAGTTGTTTTTTGTTGTTGTTGTTGTTGACAAATTAGGAGGGCGACATAAGGAAACGAGGGGAGCACATGTTAGATTACAGTTGCAGCGATTTTAATAACTGTGTAACAAAAAAAAAATGTTTTATGTTTCTGGGTAGTAAGTGTTATTTCATAATTTCTTATGACCAGGACAGTGACATATTGAAATGTACCTATTTTCAATGAGAAAACGTGGTGTGCATTTGTGTCATTCCTTCACGTAAAGTCCTGGTCACAAAAGCAAAGTTTATGGGGGGAAAATAGCCATTTTCTATACTTTTTAGGCATAAGCAATAAAAAAATATAACACTTACTACCCAGAGACAAAAGTCGTGTTACATAGTGTATAATACACGTGCAGTGCATTGTGTGTGTGACCGCAATAGCTCACAAAGCCGGGTAGTACAAGAGGAAGTTGCAATAGAATTATAGCCGAGCTCAGCTATACCAATCATCCCAGTGCAGGTCAATAAAATTCGCACGACTGTGTGGGAAGTCACCAGCTGTTACTCCATGGAGAAATATGCCCCCCCACCACCCCTGCCATGGGAATGTGTAACTTCCACCACTGGCTTAAGTCAGTCAATAGATAATGAACACTGCGTCAATGTGCATCCGAGTCATATGTGCATGCTATTTCGATAATATATGCTAATGTAATAATACATATTTCAACATAGTAGAACCGAATTACCATACATCACCTTAACTTAAAGTACTGAAGTTTTTATTATTATTTTACCAGGTAAGGCCCAACTGAGCCAAATAGCTATGTTTCAGAAACAACCTGGCCAACGCAAATGATAGCTCAACGAAGTGGCTTATCACGTGGAAATGCATAGCAGCCGAATACTCAAAACCAGATTTCCTCAGATGTTGTAAGCTTATCAGGATTTCAGTCTGGCCAGTTTATTGACAAGCGGTGGCTTGCCAGCTGTTGTAGGTGTGTGGGTTACAAGGCGTATGCAAGAGATGGCAGTGCTGTGTGTCACCTCCTTTGTGGATTCAATCTGCAGTTTTCTCGCACAGAAAGCCAAAGTTAATCCGATTGGAATTGGGCAAACAGCGTAATTGAGGATTCTCCTTAAACGGAGGTCTTCAGACTCTTTTTACGGGTAAATAAGGCCATTATCAAGTTTATATTTTCCATAATAGAGGTTTTTTTGGTTAGATCGCGTAAATATATAAATGTGTCGTTAAAACCCGCCACCACCCGGCACAGCCAACCAGTAAGGGTTGTCACGTAAACAGAACGTGGCCAATTCGTCACTTGTAGAGCACACCGGTGTGTTGGAGAGCCAAGCCACGACATTTACAACCTGAGTACGACGTTTCGCCAGTAATTACAACTAGCTTCATCAGGCGACAGCTATATTTGTGGAGAAGTCTTAGTGTGTCGTTCCTTATATAGAGGCGTAGATGTGGTGACCACGCAGCTGCGCTCTTGTACAATGTGGGGGGGTGGGATTACTGAGGCAACGACACATTTATATATTTACGCGATCTAAGCCAAAAACCTCTATTATGGATGACATTGGTCGCGAAAGCCTACGTGTTAAAGTTAATATTTCTTTATAGGTTTTTTTGTATACATATATACGTGTCCTAGAGGCACTGAGTTGTATACAACTTATTTACGGGGTCATGGATGCCCTGACAGAAGGATCATTTAAATTAAATCAGCTGCTGTGGGTATTTCTCATGATTGGAAAATAAGCATCATTACATCACTACATAATAGCGTACAATTGGGAATTACGTCACTGCACTGCCAACGTCCACTCTACTAGATTTAATGAGAGTTATAATAATGTCCAACCCTGTCCATCCACTGCCGAATGAAGGCCGCCATACGCCACGTGCCGAGGGGATGGTTTAGCCACACATCACCACACAGGTTAGTAAGGCTTGGCGAAGGAGGGGTGGGACCGTCCTGGATCAGTTCAGATATCACTCCCCACTGATTTTTTAGCTGTTACTGGAAATCAAACTCAGGTCACTGGGTTCATATTCAATCGTTGATTTGAAGCTTTCGTGACCGCAGGAATCCATACTCTTTGGTTCTTTCGGTAAAGTCACGTCGTTAGAAATAAAATAAAATAAATCACAACGTTTCGATTGCAACACAAGCAATCTTCATCAGGTGTGACAACCACAGCAAGATAAAAAAATGCTGAAGTGGGCGAGAGAGCTGCCGTGTGCAAGAGGTTAACTACGTGACTTTACAGAAAGAACCAAAGAGTTATGGGTTCGTATTGTAGTGAGTAACCCACTCCACCATCGCTCTAACCCATAATAAGGGTGAGCCTCACCGTTTCTAGAATCTTCGGGAGGCTCGAGGCACCGGGGTGTTTGGCCAGTTTTATACTCTCCACGACTAGGCTCATGATTGCATTGCGTCACATATCAGAATTTCAACTCGAACTAGGGCCTATGGTTATCGGAAAGGGTCCTTACACCTATGGACATTTGGCAGTTCACCAGGCCTGGCTGCCCCAACTGTGTCGAGACCAGCCTAAAGTTTGCTTGCATTGAGGCTGCACTACCCAGGGGGCCTCGAGGCTGATAGGATGTGTAAGAAATACCTTTTTTTTTATTTGGAGGAAAGAAATATACAAAGGGGAGACGTAGAGTCCAATTATTGTTCTTACAATTTTGGTGGTGCATGTTTTGCGAAGGAGGGCAAAACAGACCACAGGAAAGGGGAAACCTGCCGCACACCATTTCATGAAAATTAAGTTGTGAGCCCACACGGGCCACTTCACAACCCGTCTGCCATACGGCCCAACCTTGTGGCACGGTCAGTTTGAGACTCACAAATCTGTCTCAAATGAGTACCCCTGGTGCGGTTGGTAACTATCGCCACTCGGGAGACAAATGTGGCCGGGCATGGTGCTGGCCATCCACCCCCGTGTGTGCCATTTCAGCCTTCATAGGTGCTGCTCGCTAACAGCACTTGCCCCAACAGTCTGTTAAGGCTACACGGGTGATCTTTGTCTTTTATACACACTTCACGACACACGATGCAGTCCTTCTATACATGGGAATGGAAAGAGTCTAAAACGCCACAACGCATTCTGGAATGTCTGCTAAATAAGACAGCATTTCAAAGCAGTCCCATGCGTACTATTTCCATAAGTTACTGAAAACAAATGCCGTTATTTGGTTTATACATATACGTAGGCAGGTAATGATTCACTACAGCTGCTACTTGACAAATCGTCATGATTCGAAGGTCACGATTCGATTCAAGGTCCAACTAATCAATGTATAATTTTACAACGGGATCCACATCCTTTACATTTTGATGTTGTATTTAAATCGTTTGTGTTAAGTCAAGAACTATTTTTTTGGATTGAATTTTCCTTCAATCAATGAACAATGCTTCACGTTTGATTCATGACGTCACCAGCAATTGAAACCCACCACCCTATATAAATGCAGTGAAGCATATGGGGGGGGAAGAGAGAAAGGAGCTATGACTGGGACTGCAGGCTAGTGCATGCGTGTCTGTGCGTGCATGTCTGTGCGTGCGCTTCATTCTATGGGATTGGCAACCGTGCATCATTTCCTACTTTGTCCAAAAATCCTAGCAAAAATCAACACCACATGCTCGCCCCAAATTTCCACAAACAAAACATGTGCTCAAGTTACCCGTGCGCTGGCACGAACGCAGGAATTGGTTCATGATTTCAGTTTTATGATGACCTCAGAATTTTGCCAAGTCTACTGCATGCGAGCGTGCAGTGGGAAATGTGGTACTGCGTCGATAATTATAACCAAATACGTTGATGCGGAGGGGGTCGTGCCGCAATGAATCACGCACCACGCTATTAACCCGACGGCCCGGGTTTGATTCCCAGCCATGGCCGACAAAGTATAAAACTAAAAACATTTTTTTTTATTTTACCAGGTAAAGCCCACTGAGCTACAGTATATAGCTTTTTTTTCCAGAAGCGACCTGGCCACAGATGATAGTCGATATAGTTTAGCTTAGCAGGTTTTATAACACAGTCGATAAAAAAAAAATGCAAAGATGCCTACTTTATACATATACTGTACACACTTCTGGAAG